AAATTAATTATCTACATGGCTGATGTCATAGCTAGAAGCTATACAGATAATCAGATCACATGTCCAAGTATACAAGATTCTTTAGCCATAATTGTCTAAACATATATTATTTTCATCGAAAACACTATACAAAATAAAAATCAAAGGAGGTGCTCTCCTAAACGAGTAACAAACATCATGGCAGAAAATCAACGATTACCATTGGGAAAACAAAGATACAATTCAAAAGCATATAAAAATAGAGATTCATACACATGAACGCATGAAACTAAACACATTTTACGTACACCAATTTCACAAAAATATAATTATAAGCACCAAGAATAAGTTTAGAATGTGGAATAGAGAGCAGAACACAAAAAAAGATGTATATCACAAATATAGTAGTAGTAGTATATTGCTTTATTCATATCAGAAAAAAGAGTGGTACAAGAAAAATAAAAAATTACAGCTCCACTTTTACATGGACTACAGACGAACTTCGTCCCTGTAGTCCAAACATGAAAAAAAGAAAACCACATAGAAAAAAACCGTATCACAATGATCACACCATTATATACACATCATAACACATAGAAAGTAAGAAGGTAATAAAGGAGAAAGCAGAAAGTTTTTTAACGTTTTCACCAGTTCTACCTCTGCTACAAATTAGACGCTTTTCTTTTAGTAACTGCGGGTTATCGTAGTACTCTCGCAAAAATAATAAATACAGTTTATGTTGAATATAGTCGCATATCACACTAGGATTTGTGACAAGTAAGGTAGAGAGTAGCTTTGTCCAGTGTATATGTGTTAACGCCTCTATAGATTTATAACTTGGCAAACTCTCTATTTCAACGTTTTTGGCGTCATACCAACCAAGAGTAGCTCTAAACATTTGACGATTTAATGCCTCAAGCTCCTGTTGTTTACTTAACGCAAAAATAGGGTACACATTTAATAGAGATTGAGAATGTGGACGAATAAACGCAAAAAATAAACGATACGCTATCGGCTCACTTAACATACGACTAGCAGATAGACATTTAAGTGGAGAAGCGTTTGTGTGCGAATTTTCCTCTTGATATAATCAAGATGGGAGGAGAACGACAATTTTGCATCAAAGATAGTGCCTAAACACTTGAATTTGGAGACATGTTCCACGATATGGTTATCACACACAATAACAGGAATTAAAGGAGCGACCTGACGATGAAAGAGTGTCTAAAAGGTTTTTTGAAAATTAATAGGTTGCTTCCATGTAACAGAATAGGAAAAAAGACTTTCAAGTATATGAGTAATATGCTTACTAAGATTTAGAATGAACACTTTAGAGGGCCAATGTATTGACGAAGAGACAACCACAGTTAAGTCATCAGCAAAAAGATGCTTCCAATGAAGATTAGAAATTGAATTTAACAAATCAAAATGAAATACGATGAATAACACCGGACCTATACACGAACCTTGCGGAACGCCCTTAAAAAGATAAAAAAAAGCTGATTTGACATCTTTGATTTCGATATAGGCTGTCCGACCTGATAAATATTTACGTAGCCAAGCAATCATGTATGAAGGACACCCCAAACGTTCAAGCTTGATCCACAGCCCCTTATACCAGAGTTGGTTGAAAGCGGTTTTAAAGTCAATAAATAACGCTGCCGCAGCTGTATTCAGAGTTAAACTTTGACCAATTTGGTCAATAATAGCGACGAGACGGATGGCGATATTGTGACCAGGGCGAAAACCAGTTTGTTCATCGGGAAGAATCCCAAAGTCATGAACCCACTGGCGAAAATGAAAAAGGAAAATTTTTTCATACAGTTTAGAAAAACATGGAAGCAAAGAGATTGGACGAGTATCGTTGACATTTACAACATTAGTTTTTGTTTTAGACAATAAGATAATTTGTGCTGTTAACCAATGCGTAGGAAAAATTAAATGCGAAGCAAAGAAATTAAAAGACAGGTAGATAAGTGAAGGATGAGATTGTGGTAACAATTTAATCATTCTGTTAGACACCCCATCTAAACCAAATGAATTTTTATTTCTAACTGACGAAATTGCACTTCTAATATGTTTCACAGCGAAAGGAAAACTATACGTCTATGAGTAAATAATTCTCTCTTTATCGTCTTAGTATATATTCTTAACTGGCTGATAAAAAAAGGATGTTTTGTTCTTCGAGCTAAACTTAAATAAAATTGTTTTTCTTTTATAAGATTTACGACATGAGGAGGAATAGATGGTCTATACGAATTGCAATAGGAAACAAAAGTTAAACGCGACAAGGCTAAAGACAAAAAACGTTCGTATAACCAAAAACATTTAACCTTATCTACCATTTTTGTCGACAAGTTATTCCAAAACATCGAGGTAAAAGTGAGAAAAAGTTCAAACAACGACCAATATGTTCGTTTCACCGAGTAAGATCTATCCTTCTTTAATAATTCTATTGCTGAAGTCCATAAGACTGGAAAATGATTGCTACCTATAGCGGGAAGAACTGAGAAGGAAGACGAGAACATGGAAGAAGGTACAAAAATAAGATCTATCGTTCCATTTGATCTAGTAGAAGTTGGAATATGTTTATTAATAACTTCAAAAGAGTTAACAGAAAGCCAATTTGCAAGCACACGACCTTTTTGGTTATCTATAGATTTAGACCAAGACGAGTGATTTGCATTTAAATCGCCAAGAAAAACAGTTTTAGAGTTGCGTTGTAAAACTTGGTTAAAAAGAAGTATTGAGGTTGCACGGTCTTTATTCAATAGATAAAAACTGAAGATACAACGGACGGGCGCTTGACCGAAGTCTTTTGCCTAAAGAAAGAGAAGTAGTTGATCTGATATGATCTTATCTATTTGTTTTTGTTTTTGTTTTGTTTTTTCACAGAGAGGTTAAGATATCACGAAGAAGTAAAGAGAAGTATTGGAAAGGCCTCACTTGATGGAGAGTAACACGTTACTAATTGAAACTTATCGGAAGAAGAACCTATATCCAAAACAATAACATTTAAAAATTTATCAACGTTTGAAACCCATTGTACAGTAATAGAACGATAAACTGCTATTAACAGCCCGCCAAACGCATTAGTTCCTGTTTGAGAAAAAACATGATAATTGCAGAAATGTTTAGAAAACAATTTTACAGTAACACCATCATGATGAGTACCGTTTAGTACGATAATCGAGGTGTTGATAGAGCACAACAGATTAAAGACATTAAAAAGATGTGCGTTTAAACTACTCACATTTAACAACATCATAGATACATTACTCTTAATGTTCATCATGTCTATTGTCTGTTTTCTTCTTCCATCCCATTTATTTAACACCTCATTCAATGTGCCAGCTGAAGTCCATTCAAAAATAAGTTGTTGAAAAATTTTTACTTGATTCTTTGATAAATGATCCGCCTGAATTGCTAATGGTTCCTTCTGAAGTGGTTTAAATTCTTGAGCGTCTGGATTCATGTTACTGATGAATTCATATTTTCATCACTTGATTGTTCACAGTATTGCTGTACATTCATCTCATCATTACCGTTACCAAATTTAATGTCATTATTCCCCATATAATTCATTAGTTTGTTGTATAATGGAGTTAATTTTTGTTTATTTATTTTCCTTTAACTTGACCATAAATGATATTCGAAATTTCTCTAATCAATGGACATACAATATCATTGATAAGAAGTTTTACGGCCACGATTTCATTCACTTGATTCTTAATTTTTGTATTCGACAACGTGAATTGTTCATAAAGATCTTTCTGATTCTGCATAATTGCCATCGTTGTATCGTTTATTTTTTCGATCGTACACCTTTGTTCTTTCCCATAGTTGGTATTATCATTTGTCGGCGATGTCATTGAGGCATTACACAAAGATAATCGGCCTGGCGTATTCGCCCAGACACCCTGCTGTTGTGGTACTAATGGCATCTGTTTATCATTCGATGTTCTGTTTTGTTGTGTCTTTATTTGACGTCTTTCAATTTTTACTGGACAATTTGGATTTCCTGCCATATGCCCCCCTTGACAATGCGCACATCGTGTTTCATTTTGACAAGTGCGATCATAGACATGATTCTGTTCGCATTTAAAACATATGGGGTTTTCTTTATTTGGACAGTAGGCAGCTATATGATCATCATATGCTTGACAAATATAACAACGTACAATGTGAATTGGTGGCACGTAAGGCCCAATTTGGTACGACGTGTATTCATCATCCAATAATATACGTTTCATTTTAAGTATTTCAGCTAACTCTTTGTTGGGTGAAAAGTCCACACGGACTTTAGAAATTGGTCGACCTCCTTTAATAAAGAACCTTTCAGCTCTAACAATTGTTGAATAGCTTTGTTTTAATTCTTCCCCGAAATCAGCAGCATTCCATTGAGCCGGAACATTTTTAACAACAATAGAAAATGATGGAATTTTTCTTGATAATTCAACTGAATATTGATTGTTACAAATTCCATCCGGCCAATTTTCTGTATTTAATAGAAAATTGAATTGTGTCGCCGTATCTGCATATAACAGATAACATTTTTCTTGATCTATTACAACAGGACGTCCGTACGTTAAATTTATCTTACAGTTGCGATTTATATTTAATAATGACGACGTCATTCTGAGGAAATTTGTTTCCATCGCTTAGTTTAATGCGAAAAGGAGGAAAAGTCACTCTCTGTTGTTTTTTATAAAGCGATGACTCATTACCTTGCTTACGATATATACGATTTGTGTTAAAATAGGACGAAGTAGCATATTGATTTGTATTTTCACTTATCCTTTTCTGATGAGAGTCATTATTGTCATTACGATTACGCTTTGGCGTAAAATTAGATGATTCATCTCCATTTTGATCATGTCTCTGTCGTTTCAATTTCTGTTTTTCTCTATGTGATAACTGAGTCTGAAAATCGTCATGATTGTCAGTAATATCTTCCAGATCTATATTGTGGTTGTCTGGATTGCAAACGTTTGGATTACTAATAGAATTTGTAACTCTGTTATCCTTATCAATTTCTGAACCCATAGTACAGTAAAAGTTAAAGAAGATAAAACAGGCACGTGTTTATATCAACTATAGTAAATACAACAAGAGGAAAAAAAGAACAGGTCTTTACTATAGAATGTAAAAGTGAAGTATGATATCACAAATATAAATCACCATATTTTAAGCAAATATCACAGTGATACATAAACAAAATATAAAAACAAAAATTTAATCATTGTCACAGTAGAGAAAACTACAAAAAGTACAGAGATAAACACATTAGTCTCCGTACTGTAACTTAAAACAAACTGCTGATGGCTTTCATCATGCTCTGGGTGCAAACGACTACACAATGTAGTGAAAATCATGGCTGCTTCCGTCAAGCACACTCATATTAATAATAAGTCTGACACACTATGCGAATTATCACAATTTTGAATCTTCTATTTATACAAGAGATCAAACATCGTTAAAAAGTGCTGTTGATTATTTTAAAAATGTATTTCTCGAAAAAAGCTGTGGTCAAGAACGCAAGAAATAAGATCGATTCGTAGTTGAACCAATTCGCATTAGTGACGATGAACTTATGAAAAATGTTGATTTACCATCAATATTCAACCGTGAATCATGTTATCTCTATACAAATCCATCCGATCCCAGGAATTCATTGCCGGTTATATTGATTTTAGTGAAATTATCTAAAAAGGTCATAAAGATGGTCTATTATTTAATGATGAATGAATGCACAATTGCCGTCATTTACAACTATTTGAAAAAAAGGTCGGATATGGAACTCGTCATCAAAGAAACCATCTGTGAGAGATAAGGATCAGTAATACACGATCTATTTGAGTTCCGGAATGTTAAATTAACGGTTTTGCGTGATCGAGACGAACATGGTATTATACACAACAAAATACTTATCGTCGATGATGTGTTTATGGTGTCTGAATCATACAATCTGACACACTATGCGAAATATCACAAATTTGAATCTCCTATTTATACAAGAGATCAAGTAGTGTTTTCGATGAAAATAATATATGTTTAGACAATTATGGCTAAAGAATCTTGTATACTTGGACATGTGATCTGATTATCTGTATAGCTTCTAGCTATGACATCAGCCATGTAGATAATTAATTT